CCAGAATGGATGGCTATGCAATAGGTAAGTCCAATCTGGCCAAAAACACTACAGGACTGCTTACGCATGACGTAAGATAAGGTCGCATTAAATTGCGAGCGCTCATATTTTTCAAATTATTGCCTATTTTTCATATTTTGCGCAATCGCGGTTATTCAGATATATAGTGCAATTATTTCAATATATCGATGCACATCAAAATGTTGAGCATAATCTTTTAAATAATTCAAAACTTCTTGATGGCTCACGCAATTGGGTTCTTGCTCTTCCATTGTAATATAATCCGGAAAATTCGCAATTTTTGCTGGTAAATTCGTTCTATAGAGAAAAATAAGAAACATTGTACTTGGTATAATATTCACAGAGTGATTCCTGTTCTTAAAATGTAAGGAAACTAAGGAACTAAATTTTAATAGTTATACGTTGTTAAGAGATATCAATTATATCTATGTGCTTCAATACCGAGTTATTTACCATTATTTTATAAATTCAGTTATAGAGCATGGTAATTTCAAAAATCTACGAATCTTTTACGTTGTAAGGATTCTAAATTTATTATTTTTTAAAATAGTCAAAGCATTGAATTAGTTATATCAGAATAAAATCTTATAAAATTTTACAATGTTAAATGTCTTTTGAGTACTCCGATAATATAGTTTTTTAATGGTAAATTAAACATAAATTTAATATGAACACATATTTAATATAATAATATTTTAACAAGTTGTTTTAATACATACGTTATAATAATAAATTTCTTGAAAAATGCGCAGAAATTTCCATTCCGGTTTTTATTTTAATCCAATATCGAAATGATATGACATCTGTGTATATACCAGGCGAATACTCTTTAGCACAATTATCTCCCCATGAAGTTATACCGAGGAGAATATTATTACGCTCTATTGGTCCACCAGAATCACCCTATACCACATGAATAATGATATATGCTAGTAACTGTAAAGAATAATTAATAATAATTGTTTTATTATGTTTTACATCTTACTTGACAAGCGTCTACGCCTCCCTCTTTGAATCCGTAACATGCCATCCGAGGTGTCACTGCATGAAAGCTTATATAATATTTCTGGCATAGTTCGTGATCTACACGCGGTACTGTTGCGCATTTCAGATTTGCCGACAGAGCTCCATCAACAGTATTATTGAATTTCTATATATTTTATAAAAGTTTAAAGTTTTAAAGACACATAGACATTAAGCAAATTTTTTAAAAAATTACTTAAATGCCAACATCATTTTATATCAGAATACTTCATTATTACCAGATAATGTCCCCAACCGCAGATTGTACCCCATTCTTTACTAACGTGTCTGTTTAGTGGCAAGTCAATCGCTTTCGTGTAATCATTATACGTGAATGCAGGTGTTACTTGAATAACAGCAATGTCGTAATCATCGATATTTGGGTCATAGTATTCGTGTATGGAAAAGTTGATTACGTTGTGAACGATACAATTCTCGTAAAGAATGGAAGATCCACTGCACAAGGTTACTGCTTTCAAAGGATCTTCGATCCTATAACAGAAATTCTATCATCTATTCAGTAAAAGTTACTAAAATTTTTATTCTTTATAAATTGCTTATTTTACTCACGTATGTATACAGTGAGCTGCTGTCACAGCCCACTCCTCGTTTATTATAGCAGCACCGCATATGTGTCTACGGTTTCTCCTTAACGATAACTAAAAGAATAAAATGT